TGTGAGCCCATGAAACCCATGCATTGGTGCCCAGACGTGTGTAGTAGGCAGCCATAGGGTTCTGCTTTCTTCTTATTTTCATTACATATGTTTGGAAGATGGTGGTTGTGGGGGTTGAACAAACGATCAATACCATCAGTAGCTAGAAGAGAGTTCAGACCTCTTCCGTGGATCAATCCTGGATTACTCCAGGGATACCACATAAACATGGTACCAGAGCTTCCGCCAATGAATTCTTATTGTCCGTCTGTTCGTCTGACCTCACAGAATTTCTCCTTGTGGAAATTCCAATTCCGGGTATTTGTAGAAGGCCATTGTATGCTGGGTATTCTTGATGGAACTATACCTTAGCCACGCAACACCATTCCATCCTCCAAATTCGATCAGTGGAATCAGCAGGATGCCCGCATTCATTCCTGGATGCCCGCATTCATTCCTGGATGCTCAGATCTGTCGATCCCTCGACTTGCTTGAGTCTCCGTCTGTTCGTCACCTCTTATCAAATGATGCAACATCTGAAAGCGACATACTCCACCATTTACGTCGCCCGACAGTTTGAAGTCCAAATGGCGCTCGCTCATCTTGAACAGGTAGATCAGTCTGTCACCAATTATTTCAACAAGACAACAGAATCGCCTGCTGAGTTTTTTGATGCGGCTGCAACCCGAATATGAGGCCGTTTGGTAAGGCTGCACTTGGGTGTTCCTCTCGGCCATATGATCGACCACTAGCTGCAGCAGATATCCAAACTCGGCCTGCCTATTTGACTGACGCAAGCAGCAGCAGTAGCGGTGGCTGACTATTTGCCCATGATGTCGAACAAATGGTCAGCGCGGAGCTCCAGAAGTCTCTTTCAACTACCATAAATGTCGCCTTTGCTACTCTTCATGGATCGACGGATAAGACATCTCATTGGCTCCTTGATTCTGCATGTTTCAACCACATGATGCATGACTCTAGTTGCTTAACAAATGTGAGACATGTTCGTGATTTATCTTCACGAGTTGGAAATGGTAATCAATTGCAAGTTCATGGATGGGTATGATGAATGATTCCCAACTTAATTTACCTCATACTCTCCACGTTCCACAACTTGTTCCCAATTTGGTTTTCGTGGGTCAACTTACCGATGAGGGATGTTTTGTTTTGTTTGCACCATCTGGCTGTGTTATCCAGGACTTGAAAATGGGGAGGCAGATCGGAAAGGGGAGTAAACGCGATGGAATCTTTCACCTAGAGGGATCTTCATCATCGTTGTCTGTTAGTACTCATCGTGATAGGTCTGTCAGTAGTCCTGCGTCATTTCCTACTTGGTTTTTGAGTAATTCCAATGATGTTTGGGATCTTTGGCACCCCTGTTTAGGATATCCTCATTCAATTCGTTTAGCTATTATGTTTAGAAAGTCTTTGCTTGGCAAAAATAATGTTTGTACTTCTGCAAAACTTTCATGCACGAGTTGTGTAGAAGCAAAAACCATTAGTCGGTCATTTCCTTCTAGTACCACTATTATTGATCAGCCATTTCATGTTATCCATATTGATTTGTGGGGTCCATTTTTTGTTATTTCCCGACATGGTTTTCGTTATTTTGCCTTGTTTATTGATCATGCTACTCGTTCCCTTGGGTCTATTTCCTGCGTATTAATCGGAGCTTCGATCTGTTGCTACTGAATTTCTGAAAATGATCCATACTCAATTTGATCGACCTGTGAAAATAGTGTGATAAGATCCTGGTGGTGAATTCAGTTCCTTTCCATTGCATGAATTTTATCGTTCTCTAGGAATTCTCAGTCAAAAATCTTGTCCGGGGGTTTCGCATCAAAACGTACTAGATGAAAGGAAAAATCGTCAAGTTTTGGATCTTACTCGGGCTCTACTTCTTGCTTCAAATGTTCCTATTCGTTTTTGGCATGAAGCGATAGCTACAGCTGTCCGACTTATTAATTATCAAGTTACTCCCATTCTGCGAAACATCAGCCCATACTATGCCTTGTATTCCAAACATCCTGATTACTCTCGTCTTCGTGATTTTGGCTCTCTCTGTTTTGTTCTTCTTCCCAAGCGAGAGCGTACCAAACTATAATCTAAAACAACTCGTTGTGTCTTTCTTGGTTATAGTGATGTGCATAGAGGTTATTTATGTTTTGATCACACTTCTCAACGTATGCACATAGCTACAACTATTGTCTTCTTTGAACACATTATGTTTTACACCGAATCGTCCACTTCTCCTAGCTTACTCCCATCAACATTGTCGTTACCTATTTTTAGTCATGATGATGTTGATGGTGAGGATTTCTTCCCAGCGATGCCTCCTGAATCTCCCGATACCGATCCGTCTTCCCCAAGCCGCGCTACATCCAGCTCGTCTGCAACTCCTTTGACTCCCCGCACTACCTCCACGTCCAGCTCCTCCGACCCTGCTACACCGACTCCCCCTACATCTACTTTATCATACAGTTCATCCTCTACTCCACCAACGTCACCCCCTGGATAGTTCGCGTCTGCCTCGCCAGCTCCTGTACCTCGACATTCCACTCGGTCCACACAAGGTATCCCACCACCTAAATTCAATGACTATATTGCTCATGGGGTGGATGCCTTTATTGTTCCTACTCGTTTCAAGCAAGGTTGGGGAGACCCTGTTGGAGATTATGCTATAAAGAGAGAGGTAGATGCCTTGCATGCTAACAATACTAGGACTTTGGTTTCGCGACCTCCTCCATCAACTTCTGTTGTTGGCTGCCGTTGGGTGTACACGATCAAGATGAATCCCGATGGTACCATTGAACGGCATAAGGCTCGATTAGTGTCCCAAGGTTTTACACAGGAACTCGGCATTGATTACCATTAGACCTTCGCTCCAGTGGCTAAGGTGTCCACGGTTTGCACTCTATTGGATGTCGCTTCTCTACAACAATGGCCTCTGTATCAGTTAGATGTGAAGAACGCCTTTCTTAACGGTGACTTGGAGGAAGTCATTTACATTGAATGTCCTCCCAAGTCCCAACTATTCTCTTGGTACTGCAGATCAGGTTTGTCATCTCAATTGATCTCTGTATGGTCTTAAAAAGGCATCTCGTGTCTGGTTTGAGAAATTTCAAGCTACTATTAATGGTCTCGGCTATCAGTAGAGCTCGAATGATCCTTCTCTCTTCACCCTGAAGACTTCGTCTGGTCTGGTGGTTCTTCTGCTTTATGGCGACGATATGGTCATCACTGGTTCCGATCCTGCAGGTATACAGAGTCTCAAAGATGGTCTTAGTGCCGCATTTAACCTTAAGGATCTTGGAGGTCTTGAGGTTACTCGGAATGATAAGGGCCTTCTCTTGAGTCAACGCAAGTACATCTCCGACTTAGTGACTAATCATCATTTCCATGACTGCAAGCCTGTCTCCACGCTAATGGAACCCAACCTTCGGCTCAGTCGCACCTCCGGTTCTCCTCTTCAAGATGCAACCAGTTATCGAAGTTTCGTCGGGAATCTCATTTACCTTGCTACTACTCGTCCCGACCTCTCTTATCATGTTCAGATTGTTAGTCAGTTCATGGTGTCTCCCTGCACAGATCATTTGGTTGTTGTTCATCGTATTCTGCGGCATCTTCAGGGCACTCGCGATGTTGGTATGTTCTTCCCTTCCTCAGGCGTTTTTACTTTCCGTGCTTATTTTGACTCCTTCGTTGGTTGCGTTGATACTCGGCGTTCCGTTGGACAGTTCAGTTCGGTTCTGCATTTATTTCTTGGCGATGTAAGAAGCAGGACAAGTTTCCAAGTCCTCTACCGAAGATGAATACCGAGCAATGTCTGATGTGGCTTCTAAGCTTATTTGGTTACGTCGTCTTCTTCGTGGTATGGGCGTCCTCTGTCCTCTACCTATGGATTTGCTTGTGGATAATACGAGCGCTATCCAGATTGATGTCAACCTTGTTCTTCATGATCGCGCCAAGCACATCGAGATCCATGTCCACTACATTCGCGATCTAGTTGGTGATGGCTCTATTACTCTTCATTATGTCCGCACGGAAGATCATATTGCTGATATTTTCATGAAGGCGTTTTCTACTAGTCGTCATTGGTATCTCTCGAGCAAATTGATGCTTTGTGGCCAACATCAATTTATGGGAGGCTGGTAGCGGGTTATGTATTTTAGGGTTGTATAGTCTCTGTATATAGTTACGTATTATTACGAGGCCCATTAGATAGTCGACCCATTTTACGTGAGCCGATGAAACCCAGACATGAGTGCCTAGACGTGTGTAGTGGGAAGCCCTAGAGTTCGACTTTCTCCTTCTTTTCGTTATATGTGTTTGGTAGACGGTGGTTGTGGGGGATGAACAAACGATCAATACTATCAGTAGCTAGAAGAGCGTTCAGAGCTCTTCCGTGGATTAGTCCTGGATCACTCCAGGGATACCACGTAAATTTGATGTCTGTGTTCAACGTCATTGTTATTTCCGATTGATAAACAATACTTACCCATAAAAATCACCAAAGCATATTGCGTCAGTCAATTGCTAATGAATTTGGGTGAATTATCATCCACCCAATGCTCACCCATAGTATTAAGTATTTGATATAAACATATTAGATATATGACTAATCGTCCAATTAATTGATTTGTTAGTAGCATATCAAATCAAATCCGACAAAAAAAAAGCATATCAAATCAAACCACCTGAATCAAACAAACTAAAATAATTTAACAAAACCAAATTATTTATACATACCAATCAAACCAAATTGTATGAATAGTGAATGCTACGGGTTAAAACATGATAAACCAGAAACCACTCAATTTCAACGCCACTAAAAACAGCAGCCCGGCGTTGAACAGTTATGGGCTTTCTCCCCTAGCCGACTCAACAAAGCCCAGTCCAAGTTCACTATTACCGAATTTGAATAGTGGGCTGAGAAGTCCAAGAGACAGATATACTCCAACAACATTTAGTACAATTAGACACTAGTGAAATAGTAATCAGTAAGCTTTCATAGCTCAGTTGGTTAGAGCACCCGTTTAGTAAGCGGGAGGTCTTGAGTTCAACTCTCAATGAAAGCAGCAGATTTTTTATTTTTTTCCCAACTTTCGCCAGCCAAGACCCATAGGAACCAAAACTAAGTTCCATATCCAGTTTTGTTTTAATAGGAAGTTCCATATCCAGTTACGACCTGACATTACCGAACAAATGAAATGAGATCGCAATTGCAAACTGCAATCACCCACCCTTTCAATCAGAACTCTATCTATTACATCCCGCAGCTGCTAACAACCATTCAAGTCCCGCCAATTCAAGTATACAAGCCCAGCCTGGTAATGAGTAAACGCAGCAGCCACCACCAGCACATGAAACAGCTGGTGACTCTGTCCAGCGAGATCGAAACACCCAGGCTTCCATCTCTCGGGGACTCTTGTCGCATAGATCAAAGCCCCCAACCCATACAGAACCCCCATCAGAACCTCGTAAATGGTCGTCTGCAGGGCCTCCGGGTGATCGGTCCCATAAAGGAGTAACTTGTGAAGTATGGGGACCACTGCGGAGACCCCCATCCCGAAGAACAACGAGGCTCGGAAGCTCCTGAACTCGGGCCTCTGGAATGTCGGGAGCAAAGAGAAGATCATTGTCGCGATCCCCATCACGGTGATAGTACCTAGGTAGAGGTTGCAGAAGAAGGGGTTGCACATGAAGGAGTAGTAGACAGGCGGGTAGAATGAGGTGGCAATGAGCAAGGCGATTCCTGTGTAGTCCACACGGTGGACTATGTAGGACATGCGCTGAGAGTGGCAGGACAAGAGGTGGCAGATGCTGCTGGATAGTAGGCAGAACATTGCCCCTCCCATGAATACGTAGAATGGCCATCTTGTGATTGGTGTCTGTGAGGATAGTAGGGGACCCAACAGCATGTTGCTCATCGCTTCCTCCTCTTTGCCTCCTTGCTGCAAGTTTTTTTTGCATAAGAAGTTTTGAGATTAGCATTCCATATAAATTGCAGGCCATAGCTGACATTCAAAGTTTGCTCAAGGGGTTGTTTTCAATATGGCCTACTACTCTCCGTAGGCATTTCTAACTTTTTGCATCTTAAGTTGAAATTCAATCAGCAACATCTCAACAGTACATTATGCTCCTATTACATTCGTCACCATTTCAAGTTTTTATGGAGCTCCACAGCCTGCCACCCAATAACCCCTTTATGGCATATGATCCCTAGGCCAAAAGTACCGCGATAGAGATCTTGAAGCTAAATGCAAAGTTCAACACAAGTGTAAGATCAAGCCAGCACTCAGCATGAGTGTTTAGTTGAATGCATGTCTAAAAGATTATAAACTGCAAAGCAGACATCCTTATTAGATGCTAATGCAGAGAGTAATACTTAATACTGGTTCAGCCTTCAGGAGTTCTGATATTCCTCTAATCGATATTATTCATATTCATAATCAGATTAATCATCAGACAATTCGTAACATACATAAAGAAGAACAGCTAACATTCATTCAAAGCTTATTGATCCCAGGAGAATTTGTCTTAGCATGTATATCATCTATGTCCAATTAAGCAAGATCAGTGGACGAAAATGCAAAGTAGGAAATACCATGAGGATAGAGTTGTTAGACCGGTAAAGTTGGAGTACTCGATCAGGCAGGCAATTAGTGAGAACATCCACAAGGCTAAAGTTTGAAAACGAAGCCTGGAGATCTTCCCTGAACCTATGAAGATCATGCATGTCTGGGAAAGAAGGCAAGCACCCAACTAATTCCTTGTACAGCTCCCCCGACGACGAGCGGAGCAACTCCGGCAGCCGGTGCAGCGAGTTCAGATCCACCACCTCCGGCGCCTTCTTCGCCGTGTATATCGTCAGGAACAAAAACAAAAAGAACCCCGCCAAATGACTGCCACAAAATTGAAGGGGAAATTCAAAATCGAAAACCCAGAGAGACAATGAAATTAGAACGTGATTAGCGATGATTTTACTCACGTCCAGATATTGAGGGTTTCGTTGTGGATGCGGAAGACGCTGAGAAGGAGCTGTGTGATGGGCCATTCAGCTCTGTAGTAGCGATGGATGTACTCGTTGTCCTTCATGTACCCTGGCAGCGTGTGGTAATCCACCAGCTGGTATTTCACCTTCTTCCAAGCGTTGTTCTTGCTCTTCCCCTTCTTTCCTCCATCTTCATAATCGGACTTCTCCGAACCCAATTTCTCGTACCCATCTCCCGTCATTTCCCTTTTTGCCCCCAAAAACTTGTTACTCTGTTTTTCTTTGAGAAATGTCGGATGGGAATGGAGGGAATTTATATGGGTGGCAGAAAAGAGAGTGTTTTTGGAGGGTTTCTAAAGAGGACAAGCCATGAGAGTGGGGAAACAGAGCTTTTGAGGTCAGGGGAAGGGGAGGCGATGATTTTGATGAGAATTGAGAAATAGTCGACAAGGCCTGTACAATTGAATTGAATGAATGGTGAATAAATATCTTGTTTGAGGGGAAGATTCGTTTTTCAACTTACCCACTACGCAAAATTCAAGAAAGAGGCAAACTTTTGTTCACGAGTCGCTCTCTTTCTTTCCTCTTGTTTGCTTGCCTCCATTTTTAGACCATGAGAGGGGATGGCAGGTGTCATGGAGATGGGGAGAGAACCACATCATTCACTCGACTTCTCGTACGTCGGTAACAAAGAAATGGCCAACCGATACAAAAGTAGAAAAACTTGTCCTTTTCTTCTTTATTCCTAGCTTCACTAATCACTATAATCAGAACTTCTATTGTGAGCTACAATATGAAACTAACACCACACCAAGTAAATTTAAATGCAGAATCAAGATGACGATTAAAATGATGGTGGTGGGGTTCTCTGTGCTTCATCATCTTATTGGACCAAGAAAACAGAGATGACAAGATAAGTAATCATTCTCATTAGACAAAAGGAGGATGGGACGGGGATGAACTCTAAGCAAATGACTATGGATTATGGAAAGAATTCAAACATCGAATATGTATATAGAAGTATAGAACACCTGTTGTAAATTTATTACTCAATCATCGGAAGATTATAGTCCGTAGCAAGTTGCGATAAAACAAAAAGGGGTGGCCTATCCTCTCACAATTCCTGGTGTTCCCAGGTACACAGAGTATGGGCCACATTGTTGCAGCTTCTCTTCACAAAACTCCACCTTATCTGGCCCAACTCCAAGACTCGAGCCCGGATCCCGTCGCACAAAACTCCCTCCTCCTTCAGCGATGATGTGTACCGCCTCAGCTTGGAGATAGCTTCCAGGTAATTAGATTCGATTTCCACCGCATGAAACCCCTTCATTTCCACCATCTCCACAGCGAAGACGACCGCATTTAGCTCAGCTACCTCGCCACTCAAAGGCTCGAGCCCAGATCTCGTCGCACAAAACTCCCTCCTCCGTGAGAGATGATGTGTCCCGCCTCAGCTTGGAGATAGCTTCCAGGTAATCAGATTAGATTTCCACCGCATGGAACCCCTTCATTTCCACCATCTCCAGAGCAAAGACGAACCGTTAGTCTCGCTCTTGTGCCCTCATCTGCAAAATTGGCTGCATCTACATTGATCTTCAACCAGCCCACCGACGATTTCTTCCAAATCCCAGGTCCGATTTTGCCCTTACCTTACTCTTTCTATCGAACTGATAGAAATTTTTCATAGTACGAAAGTGCCCTATCCGCTATCTCCCATCCCTCCAACTTTTTCTTGTTGAATAGGTGATTGTTCCTCTCGTTCCAAATGTTCCATAGGATCATTGATAGTTTTGCCAGCATCACCTCTTTTATTTCCTCCAATAATTCACAGAACCACGCTTACACGATAGCTTTGTCCCTCGTTCGAACAGCTCCCTAAACTCTGTGGGAGACCATATTTGTCTTGCCCTGGCGCATTCCCTGAATATATGTTCTTGGGTTTTCACTAGGTTACATAATGACCACTCCACCGCCGCTTCCTTCTTTTTAGACTCAATATTTTTCCTCGATGGCAAAATGTTTTGTAGAAAGCGCCTTAAGAACATTCGTACCTTATCTGGTTGAGGGATTCTAGTTAGTGGTATCGCCAGGATTATGGCTATGTCTGTTGGGTTGAAATGTTGTTGGAGCACATTCATCTTCCATAGTTGAGTTGTATGATCAATCAAGGATGATACCTTAGCTAATAAGCCTAGAATAGACACTGGTGAGGTGACCAAATAGTCATCCCATGCAGCATCTGGTATCCACCTATCACCGCACACCTCCACCTGAGTCCCATTGGATATTCTCCATCGAACGCCATTTCTCACCAACTCTTGAGCCGCCATCAGGCTCTCCATGCATAACTAGGGTTATACCCAACTATGGCATGTAGAATGTCAGTATTAGGATAGTACTTAGCCTTTAATACTCTGGCTACTTGGGAAGATGAATTTTGTATAAGGTTCCAGATCTGTTTCCCTAGTAGGACAAGGTTAAAGGCTTTGGGATCCCTAAAACCCAAACCTCCTACTTCTTTCGGCTCACACAATTTATGCCAAGCTCTCCATGGTATCCTTTTCTCTTCCTTTTTTTGTCCCCACCAAAAATTAAGAATTGCAATCCTTAATTCATCTAGCACCACATCAGGGACAAGAAATAGAGACATAGTATATGTTGTTTTGGTTTGAGCATCTTCCTTTATCGGTATTTCTTTTTCTAGCATTGGATAGGCTCTAGTTTTTCCAAAGTTTGATCTTTTTCCTAACCTTGTCCACTAAAACCCCAAACACAGACTTCTTTTCTCTGACAATAACTGTAGGTAAACCTAGATACTTCGTGTGCTCTTCGACTTCCTTCATCCAAAGTATCCCTGCCAACCTTGCTAAATGGTCAGCCCTCACATTCGGACTAAGTGTTAGGTCTGACTCATGGAGATTCACTTTCTTACCCGATTCCTTCTCATATAGCTTGAGAATGTCCCTTAACTGCTCACATTCTGTTGAGCTCGCTCTAGTGAAGAAGATACTGTCAACTACAAATAGTAAATGTGAGATGAATGGTCCTCTTCTAGAAACCCAGATCCCATGCAATCTCCCATCTTCAATTGCTTTCCTAGTCAAGGCTGAAAGCCCTTTCACACATAAGAGGAACGAGTAGGGGGATATAGGATCCCCTTGTCTGAGGCCTCATTTTGGTTCAAACGCCTCTTATTGGTGTTCATTCACTAGGACTTAGAATGAAACCATAGTGATACAGAACATAATCAGATTCACCCATCTTCCATCAAACTCCATCCTTAGCACCATAGCCTCCAAGAAGCCTCAATTTACACGGTCATAGGATTTTGAGATGTCAAGTTTTGTTGCCATGAATCCTCTTTTAATCCCTTTCTTTGTTTTCACGGCATTGAAACATTCAAAAGCCACCCTCCCATTATCCTTTATGTACCTTCCAGGTACAAAAGCACTTTGGTTGTCCTCTATCACTTTGTTCAGAATCCCTTTCAACCTGTTAGCAAGGACTTTTCACATGATCTTATATAAGACCTTGCAAAGATTGATAGGACGATATTCCATTGGTGTTTCTAGTTTCTTTGTCTTAAGAACCGATGCTATCAGAGTGTGGTTTAGCTTTCTAGGAAAGGAGCACCTTTCTAGATACCCCGTGATAAAGCACCAGGGGGGTGCTTTGTTTGATTAGAATACGCAGCTCAAACCTCTTCAATGAAAGATAAAACGGATAGGTAGAACTTCGCCACAATCAAGGTGATTACTTGACTGATAAGAAACTTGTAAAACGAATATGGAATCCAAACAGAAAAGCTTCACAAGGGTTCTCGAATTAGCAATGGAATCCACACAAAACTAACTCAAAGATTTGATTCTTGAGACACAACTCAAAGACTCAAAAACTCACGTAGGAGTAATTTTTATTCAACTCAACTTGGATGATTTACAACGTGAAATTGAAAGCTATTTAGACAATAAAAACCTAATACAAACCTATTAGAACTCTATTTCTTCAAGCACAAGCAACTTGCCTTTTAGCAAAAGTAAACTATCCAAAAATAGTTTTCGTACTAACTTCATGTCATTCGTTCGACGCCTTCCAAAACTCCAATCCTTCATCCCATTCCTTCCCTTTGTACATAAACATACCTATTTTCATATTGTGGAAGCCTTTGGACTTGAATCAGATCCATACTCCTCGAATTAAGCTCCAAAGTAGGCTTCACAAAACAGTTTTCAGACTTAAACCATTTTCTGGCAGTTTTCCAGTTTTCAGGTAACAGCTTTGATGCCTTGGAAAACAACCTTTATGACATGTTCTGGATCCAAAAAGCATACCATTGGAAAGATGGAAACTTTATATTGAAAACAAATCCTTAATCTCCAATTTCCATTGAGCCATTTGTGAGATACAAGCTTCCAAATTAGGCTACCTGAAACTGTTTCAACACTTAGCCAAAAATCAGAATTCTTCAAGTTAGTTGAGATGACTTCTTTGGCAAGTAATTGTGAATTGTGGATTGATCCAATTGGGATCATATCAAGCTCCCCCTCATCAAAAAGCTTTGACCTCAAAGCTGCTTCTTGTAAAAAACGTCACAAAATTCCTCTCAAATCGGGTCACAAAATAGGTACCTTGAACTTGCAATTTCGGACTTCAAATCGTCGTTAACTTGTGAACTTGCATCTGCTTGACACGATTTGAGCTTCATCCAATGGACCTTCCCCACGCAAAAATTTGCTCAAACAAACCCAGAACACACAATTTCCAGATTTCCAGATTTCGGCGATAAAATCTCAGAATCCGGCGAACTCGAATTTTCCGACGAGACCTTCAAATTTGGGGATTTCTTCTCGAAGCTTTCTCGATCAAATTCACCGCTCAAAATTGACCCTAATGGCTCCCAGGAATCGATCCCACGCATTTCCGTGCTTTGAATCTTTCCAAATCGCTCCAATTGTTGATTTTCGAATTTCCCTCCGTTGGAGGATTTGAATTTTCCAGAATCCGACAGCTCAAACTCAGATTTTGGCGATCCCAAACTGAAATTGGGCGTTTCCGATCCTAGCTTCTCTAAGACAAATTGATCGTTCGTAAAGCTTCCTTGGACCTTCCTGAACCTTTCCACAGTCTCCTTTTGGCTCGATTCACTCCCAATCGCGTCAACCAATTCACCCTTCTCGACCTCATGTTGCTTCTCGTTTTGACCCGAAAATGGTGAATTGGGGGTTTTCGACTCGACGCATTTCGACTCCAATTGATCGTCATTACACGTTCCTGGCCTCTCAACGAACGTGTCAACGTCGTTGGTTTTGATCGAACTGGCCTGGATTGCAAATCGCTATTCGCTCTCTCTCTCTCTCTCTCTCTCTCTCTTCCCTTGCATCTCCGTCGGAAAATAAGGGTGCACAGCCTGGAATGAGCTCGTCGTCTCGCCTTGAATTGGATCGATTTTTTCCCGCAAATCCACTCTTGGGGTGTCAACAATCATTGCGGATGAATTGGGTTCGCTTGAATGCTCTCCCACGTCGCTGCCCACTTCTTTCTCTTCTCCGCTTTGCTCTGTCATCGACGAACAAAGGTCTTCTGCTCTAATCGGCGTCGTTGCTGGAGCAACCTTCCACGACCACGACTTTGCCAACAGGTCCTGCTGATACTCCTCTTGGAGTCGGTGTAGCTCGTTTAAATCGTCAGCAACTACTTCCGGAGCCAAAGGGTTCACGACGAACACCTTGTTTCGACTCTGAATTTGAAATTTCCTGCTTCGTGGACT